CGAAGAATGATGCTGCAAATTCGGTTTTGCTGAACAAACATTAATTATTAAGAGTTTTGTTTTGTGATTTAGAAATATGCTCACAAAGACTGCATTTATTTTGATCAAAAATACAGTAAAAACAGTAATATTGTGGATTGTATTATTACAATTTAAAGTAAATGTTTTCAGTGTCACATGATCCTTCAGAAATCATTCTAATATGCTCACGGTTTTCAACGTTGATAATATAAGAACCATTATTAATAACTGAGCAACAATAATAATTGAGCAGCAAATCAGCATATTAGAATGATTTCTGAAGGATCATGTGACTGACCATGATGATGCTGGAAAAAAGTACATTTTAAAATGGTAAAATTGCAAAAATATATTACAATTTTACTTTTTAAATCAAATAAATGCAGCCTTGGTGATAAATGCAGCCCCCCCCCCCCCCAAAAAAAAAATCATAATTATTTTTAAATTATGATCGGTAGTTTATATAGAGACAACACAATAATCCAACATGCTAACAATCTTTTAAGTGTTTTTTTGGGGGGGTTTTTGACGTAGTAAGTTTCGACGACACATTCTGGTAGTTAATTTTGTGTTAATCGATGACAAGTAACTTGAGGAAAGGAGCTAGTACGTTTACACTTTGAGTGAATCGCATGCGGTGAGTTTGTCCATGCGGTGCCTTTCTCGTTGAAAGAACATTGTTTGTCGTAACTGACCTTATTCAGACATGTGAACTCATCCGGGCAAACCTCAATTGTGATGTGAATAATGCTTTCATCAGCACATACATCTACACTGAACGGCTTATAGGAAGAGTCTTCTAAAGCCTTAGTGCAAATGGACTTGAGTTGGGAAAGAATTTGAGTAGATTCTGCCGAATTACATTTACATTCTTCTGAACGTCCACTATGGGCAGAGACGTTCGGGGGTCGAGCTGGTTCCTCAATAATCACCCAACTCTCTTCATCTGCCTTTGAGTAAGCAGCGAAGATGATTTCGAAAGAACCAGGGGAAATGTCTTCTTCAGCGACCAGCGCTGGTTCCACAGATGTTGTTAATGGTTCCTCTGCAACGACCAATGTCTCCTTAAAATCGTGCTTTAGAAGTTCTTCTGATTGGCTCACTGTTTCTTGTTCCTGAGTAATCTGCAAGATTTTCTCAACCATATCCGCAGTGTCTTCAGTAACTAGCAATGGCTCCTCAGTTCCAATGACTGGTTCCTCAACAGGAGACGAGACCTCGACAGTATCAACTGCTAAATGTACAACTGAAGACATACTTTGTGCAATAAAACCATCAGCTACTTTCATCAGTTTTTTGGAAATTGGTTCATCAATCAGATGTTTGGTAGCTTCACACATTGGGACGTTCTCACATGCTAATTGTTCCCTTTCATCTGATATTATGCTTTCAACCATTTGAAGAAGTTCCTTGTCTTCTAACAAGGCCTGTTCAGCATCCACAGTCTTAGGTTCTTCATCTTCTGGAACCTTAGCATCAGCCGTTGGTGGTTCTTCAAATTTCAGATGTCCTACATGTATTTCACTGGCTTTTCTTGTAACTGGCTCTTCACTTAGTGGTTCTTCAGCAACAGCTACTGGTTCTTGTTCAGTGTGCAGATCTGGTAGGACCTCCAGGCATGTCACGTCTTCAACATTCGCGCTTGATGACTCCATCGAGATGTTCTTTGTCAGTGAGCTTGGGCTTTTGGGTTGCGCGGGAATAGCGTTGACCAATTGCAATTTGAGCTTCTCCGCAACTTCCTCAAGAATCTCCTTTTGGTCTGAATTAATGAAGACTTTATCCTTTTGGAATGAGAAATTGGTAAATGTGAATCAAAATGCACTAGGTTTTTGCGATTTTACGAGGATTAGTTGTTCCCTGGTAAATGCTCGGCAGAACAATCCAGATATCCATCCAAAAATAACCATGACCTAATGCACAATTTAATACACTCTGAAAAAATGCTGTGTTGTTTCAACCCATGAATGGGTCAAATATGGACAAATCCAACTGTTGGTTTGAATTTTAAAATGAAATGGTTTCACTTTATTTGGATGGTCCCTTTAACACATTCTGTTGACTATAAGTAACGTTACACCTACATGTCTACTAACTCTCCTTAGAGTGTTAGTAGATTATTAATAGACTGGTAGGGTTAGGGTTAGAATAAGTTGACATGTAGTTGCATAGTTACTTATAGTCAGTAGACTGTCTGTTGGAGGACCATCACAATAAAGATATTAATCAGACAGTCTACTAATACTCTAATGATAGTTAGTTGACATGTAGTTGCAAAGTTATAGTCACCAGAATGTTCAAAAGGGACCATCAAAATAAAGTGTTACCAAACTTTTAAACCCAATGGTTGGGTTTGTCCATATTTGACCCAAACTTGGGTTGAAACAACAAAGCATTTTTTAGAGTGTAGAAACACGTGTTCTAATAACATACTAAATCATTCTTTGTTTTATTATGAATCTGCTTTTTTCAAGCTTTTTTTTTACATTCTACATACTATATTTTCCGATGTCAAATAATGATAACACATTAGTTTAGGGTCCAACTGTAAAAACTTATTTTCATGATTTATTTTCACAACTTTTTTTCTTTTGTCAAATCAACTTAGAAAATTAATGTGGTTCAGATAACACAATATTTGGAGTTTCTGTCGATTAAACCAATCTCTGTATTTTTTTATTTCAATGAACTCAAAAATTTAAGGCCACCAAAATTTTAAGGCAACCAGATAACTTAATTGTTTTAAGTTAAACCAGCAACATTTTTTACAGTGTAGTTGCTTATTAGCATGCAAATTATTAGAATATTACTCGGCTGTTTGTTAGTAGTACTTATAAAGCATATGAATTCCTTATTCTGCATGACCATACACTACATCCCTTAATCCTACCCAATACCTAAACTTAACAACTACCTTCCAAAATACTATCGTAGTTATAATTAGTTAATAGTGAGAATTGGACCCTAAACTAAAATGTGACCTAAATCATTTTTCTGTCCAAACTAATAGCAAAACTGATGTGCAATGTGACGAATCATAGAGAACCATTAATATTTTATGTGTAAAATACAACCATGTTTCACTGTGGACGGGGCTACCGGAGAAATCAAGTGGCTGTGAAAATGTAAAGGAGAAATTATACTAAATTAGTAAAATAATAAATGAACAACGTTGCAACTTCTACTTACCAAGTCAAATATCAGATCCACGAGGGCGTCAACTGAATCGTTGCTTTCTAATGCAGGTTTCACGGGTTCACTCTTCTTTTTGAACATTTTACCAAAGAAGTTGGTCACCTCATCTTCACTGGGCTTTGGGACTGTTTTGGGTGGTTCTGCATCTTTTGCGACTGTGGTTTTTTGCTCAGGGGTTGTTTCCACATGTGCGGGTCCGTTGAGTTTACAGCTGTCTACCTCCTCTTTTTTGGGTGGCTTTGGTTCATTTGTGATGGTCACTGGTGGGGGTTCACTCTTTTGCTCCACTGCTGCTGCTTTGCTAGCCACTAGACAAAAGAAAATGAAAGAAATGATGTATGCAATGCACAAGGATAGATAATATCTATGCTGCCTTTAGTTATCAATTTGACTAATAATAAATCATAATACACACCCAGTTCTTATGGCTTAGGCTTTATTTATATCTAGTTTAATGGTCCTGACATTTAAAGGTAACTCTATCTAGTCCCGCCAAAGTTACACAAGCATATTCAACAAGACTGTGCACATGCATCTGCATACTTGAGCAAAGTGTTTCTGGCCTTATTTCTACAAGCATTGTGCAACTTTCATTCTCTCATGCATGCATTTATCTACCACATTCTATGGGATATATATCACTTACATCTAGTAAGTCTGGAAAATGTACTTGTGAGTGCACTTCCCTTCTATAAAGGCTTTGTGAAAGTGTTAGCAACTACAAACTAGCAATGCACACACAACGCAAATTAAACATTGCTTTATCCACCATGCATCTGACTACAACACCCAAAGATTATACAGAGCTTGTACGTGACATGTTCTCGAATGTGGGTTGACTTGCTGAGTTAATCCAAACAATGTAAATGCCTGCAAGTTTAGCTTAACAAGTCTAACTCTTGCAGATCTTTACTTTGAGAGAATATGCGGGGAGATACATTGGTAACACTTTATAGGGTCTAATTTGTTAACATTAGTTAATGCATTAGTTACCAAGAACTGTAACAATGAGCAATATATTTTTACAGCATTTATTAACCTTGTTTACGTTAGTTTATACAAATGTTCATGTTAGTTCAAAGTGCATTAACTAATGTTAACAGATCCAATTTTTGATTTAAAAAAAACGTATTAGTAAATGTTGAGATTGACATTAACTATGAGTGTGATTAATAAATGCTGTTCATTGTTAGTTCATGTTAACTAATACAGTTAACTAATATAATAAATGAAACATTGTAAAGTGTTACCGATACGTTTAGCCACATAAACAAAATAAATGTGCAGTATATAGTATACATACCAAGTTCAGTTCCATCTGGAGTCGGGACTGCATGTCCATTCAGTTCTCCATTCTTCACTTTTTTATCAGCATTTGTCTGGTAATGACATTGTTTAGTTTCATGTTATGTTGTTGTTTGAACCATTGTGCCTCGGTTTAAATATGTAGAGGTGCTTACAAGAGTATTTCAAATGCTGGAAAAGCACCTAAATATAATTTTTTCTTGTATATACATTTAACATAAAAGTATTGATGTTGAAAAGATAAGATAAGGTAATAAATAATAAAACGATATTATATGTCAACTACTCACAAACATTTAATTTACCTTTGGACGTTTTTTCTGAGTTGATTGCTCATTCCCCATCTTCGCTTCAAGTCAGCAACTGAATATCAGCATTGACATTGAAAACAGTTATTGCATATTAATATGAGGAAAATACCCACAATATAATTGTTCCAAGTCTGTTACGTGGGCTGAATTCAATCAGATGATGACTAAAAATCCCACACTGCAGAGAAATGAGTTTTTGTCTTGTATTCAGTACAAATATCTAAGCATTCCTAGATCCAAATGCAATTCCTTAAGAAGCGAAATGACATAAGGTTTCTTATTCTAAGAAGTCTTGTATTCTAAAAAAAAGGGTAACACTTTATTTTAAGGTGACGTTACATGGTACTTAAATAAGTACTAAGTAATATTAATTAAAAACATAAACTTACTGTAGAGTTAGGGTTAGGTTTAGTTACTTGTAATTATGCTCAATTTACTGTTATTACTATAGTAAGTATGCACCGTTTATAGTATGTAGTACCGTTCAACTACGTCACCTTAAAATAAAGTGTTACCAAAAAATGATCAAAATTAAGTGACTTTAAGCTTAAAACAAGAAAATGTCTGCCAAAAATAATTTTACTTTTTTTTTCAAGCATAAATTAATCACTTAATTTTTCTGAAAACAAGACTTAATATTATGAGTAACTTTTCTTCTCAAGTAAATGCATCTTGATTTAAACATGTTTGTACTTGAAAACAAGACTACATTTTTTTTTAGTTTCATTGCAGTGCAATAGGAAAACTAGATCTCTGCAGGGTGGAGTAGCTTCTGACTTGTTTTTGTGAAGGTTGTAGGTTCAATCCCAAAAAGGGATGATAACTAAATATTAAATAATACTTCTAATTATTAAATAACTTAAAATACAATTGAACATACTTAAAAAATATTTGTATTTACCTTTCCACAGTCTTGTGGCCCAAACTGACAATTAGAGTCTGTGTACAGTTTCCAAACCTCGATTAAAGTAATCACCAGCAGTCTGCTATCTGTCAAGCCTGTGTGTGTGTGTACACATATACCTGTCCTAAAAGAGGGTGGGGCTCAAAACTCATTACCTTAATACACTGTGGATGAGACATGGCCTGTGAACCTATTATCCCTGATGAACTCAGCATCTTGTCCTATTGTTTCTCACCAATGAGCTTTTCCACCTAAAAAAAGTGACAGGATTATCACACATGTCAATGATAAGACATCAGACAATATCATCCACTCATTCAAAGAAGTTACCCAGGGAAAGTGTCAAGCTGAACTGAGAACAGTCTGTTTTGTAGGTGTGGTTGGCCCCAAACAGGATGTGTGTAGGATATAATGCAAAAGTTTATTTGCACAGTGTGACTCTCATCCAGGGTTTGAGTACAGAGTACATGATGCCAAGCTTACCAACATAAGCCTTTATTTATTCAATGATTCCTCACTGGCAGAATACATTAAAGAAACATGACATTGTAAGAGTTACGGCGTGAATAATGAGAGAGGCTACAATATTTTGGAGTGGATTTTTCATGATTTCAAAAATGATTTACATGACCAAAAGTTAGCATGATTTTTTTAAAAGAATGTTTTAAGAATATGATGCTAAATATGAAGCGGCACAACTGTTTTCAACAGTGATAAGAAATGTTTCTTGAGCAGTAAATCACCATATTAGAATGATTTCTGAAGGATCATGCACTAAAAAAAACTGGAGTAATGATGCTGAAAATTCAGCTTTGCATCACAGGAATAAATTACGTTTTAAAATACATTCAAATAGAAAACAACTGTTTTAAATTGTAATAAAGTCTCACAATTTGTTTGTGTATTTTCGATCAAATAAATGCAGCCTTGTTGAGCATAAGAAACTTTTGAAAGGTAGTGTAAGTTGACTTAAAAATAATACTAACGGGATAGTTCACCCAGATATTATGAAGAATGATGGTAACCAAAGAGTTGATGGACCCCAAAAAGAAATACTATGGGGCCCATCAACTCTTTGGTTACCATCATTGTTCAAAATATATTCTTTAATGGTCAACAGAAGAAAGAAACTCAAACAGGTTTGGAACAACTTGAGGGCGAGTAAATGATGAGAGAATTTTCATATTGGCAGAAACATTAATCATCATGTCTTCCCCTTTGCTTTAATGACAGCAGAACTGTATGATGATCATGTTCTCCAGCTTGATGTTTCAAAGAGCATCTTGTGCTCTGATGGAAGCAAGAACATTTGACCATCTTAAATATTTCTTCTTTATTTTCACAGTTTTAAAAAATATCAAAACTTCCTGTATTTTTAAGTTTATATTAGATCTAAAACCTTAGATTTTCAAAGGGGTCTCAAGGGGTTTATTGATTGGATTATCTGATCTTTACAGCCTGTTAAACTGATCAATTTAAGCTCGTCATCAAACATACAGAGATTATTTTTTGATGTACTGATGAACCCTGGATTTGCTCCAGACTGTAAAATAAATCCTAAAGTGAAGTACTATCTAAATCCTAAACATTTGTACAATGGATTGCTGTGGACTGTTGGCAAATGGTAGGCTTATGTTTAATGACATGGAAACTATATATTTTGATTTCTAAGGGAAGCATTCAGCAAATATTGATATATGGGATGCATTGCAAATTCATTTAATTAATGAATCAGTATATGGCGGTCAAACGTTTGGAATAATTAAGAATTTTTAATGTTGTGAAAGAAGTCTCTTCTGCTCACCATGACTGCATTTATTTGATGAAAAATACAGTAATATTGCGAAATATTTATTACAATCTAAAGGAACTGTTTTTGACTTTAATATATTTTAAACTGTAATTTATTCCTGTGATGTAAAGATGAATTTTCAGCGTCATTACTTCAGTCTTCAGTGTCACATGATCCTTCAGAAATCATTCTAATATGATGATTTGATGCTCAAGAAACTGCTTCATATTTTTATGGAAACCGTAATGAACTACCATTTAAAAGTTTGGACTAGGCAAGAACTTAAAAAAAACTAAATTAATTGTATTCAACAAGGATGCATTCAATTGATTTAAGTGACAGTAAAGATATTTATAATATTTCAAAAGATTTCAAATAAATGCGGTTCTTTTGAACTTTTATTCATCAAAGAACCATGGAAAAAATGTGTCAGTTTCCACAAAAATATTAAGCAGTGAAAACCTTTTTTTTTTTTTTAAATCCTTTAAAAATAATTTAGCACTTTTTGAGCACATTTTAATATATATATATATTTATAACAGTTATTTTAAAATGTAATAATACCCTATTTCACAATATTACTGCTTTTACTGTACTTTTGATCAAACAAATGCAGCGCTGGTGAGAATAAGAGACTTCTTTCAAAAACATAAAAAAATCGTAATTATTCCAAATTTTTGACAAAACTTTTAATTGATTAACAGACACAATTTGTAATAATGTAATAACAGATTTTGACAATGATTCTCTCGACTGTTGGAAAGTGGAAGAATACTAATTGACATGAAGAAAATATTATCTTTGCAAACAGCAGCAAATATCAAGTTTACTGTATTAATTCAGTGATATAATTACATGGCAAATGCATTTCATTGTGATCCCCTATACTTATTCTTGGCGCAGCCTTTTTCTTGAGTGTTTTATCATAAATGACCAATCTACTTGACCTTTAAGATATTTTTCTCGACATAATATTAATTCTTTTCATTGCACAAACATAAATGCATACAGTGATTGTCTCCCACATACGGGCCCAGTCAGGCCGTCTTATTCACTCTCCATTCCCCTGACTGTAAATGCAACTATTTGATTCACATGTGGTTGTTTGAGCTGAGGAATCCTATCGCTTTGCCAAAGTGCACTGTAAACCCTTTAACATCTCATGAAATAAATGTCAAACAAAACACTAACATGTACAGTGCACTGTGCTTTTCCTATTCAACAGAAAGCATGACAACGAACAAAGGAGTAGATCCGCAGAGGGTGAGATTTTGTCATGTAAGCGCCGTTCATGGATACAGAGTCACATTGTAAATGTACACACCGGGGGCGAAAAGCAAATTCCTTTGTGGTCACTGTGAACTTGATCTGCCACCATGAAATGAATTCTTGCGACAGGCAAACAGGGAAAAAGGTTGCACAGAATGCAATGGATTTATCATAGTTTTCATCGAATTATACTTTGGTGGTCATTGATACTCTAATTATAGCTATTAAAAAGAATCATAAACGAATAGTAATGATAGTAAGGTTGGGAAAAGGGGGGGATTGTATATTATCTTAATATTTGTCTTTGGGTGTAACACTGTTTACAAAAAGGATGTTCAAGGAGCTTCAAGAAGCACTAGCAACCACAGTGAGTTTGTTCAGTCAGGTTGTGTCATTATGTTAACTATATATTCAACAGCTTGACTGTTTTACTTGGTTACCACTGAAACATTGGACACTCGACCACATCCTTAAGCTGATAGAGACCGTTCACCCCCAAAATTTTTTTTTACAAAAATCTGTCATCATTTTCTCTCATCATTTCTTAAAAACACAACAGAAGATATTCTGTGATCCTTTGAAGTTCAGTTTTTCTGCTTAGCAATGCAAAGATTGAATTGTTTCGGAAAATGTATTATAATACCTATAGGTAAAAGCATATAGGAAATCCCCAAATACATAAATAAATAATCATCCATTTTAAAATGACCCACAACATGAGCAAAAAAATTAGCACAACAAAGACAGACTTTAAAATAATCTAGACAGTTAAAGTCAGTTATAAGGATGGATTCTTATGAGAATGGTTAAGCTGAATGTAAATATAAATGTTTCAGCTATGCCACTTTTGGCTCTGTGGATTTTTAGAAAGTAGCTAAACAAGCCTACAGGCCAACAACAACATTTGGAAATAACAGCTGTAATTTGAGTTCTCAGTTCTGAAACACTGAGGGAAGATCATTTTCACACAGTAACTCTTTGATACTAAACTTTTAAAAATTTGTGATAGGCTTTTTTGGTTTTTGGATATGGCTAAATCTACAGGGCCAAAAAAAAAGTGGATAAAAAGTTCATAAAAAAGAAACCCGGGGGCATAAAAGTAACTTTTTACTGTAAAATCATCAAGTATTTCATGTCTGTGTGGAAATAAGTCTACTACTGTCCTAGGCTACTGTGTAAGTCGAGTTAGGAAAATCCTAACCACAAAGAAACAACGGATTATAAAAAACAAAACAAAAAAACAACGGATTATAAAAAAAAAAATAAAAAAATAAAAAAAACTCATTGAGGTTTGCATTTCGTTTAAGTCAGTTATTGCAGTAAAACATTATACTTCATGCTCCCTCTGTCAAAAGTAGCTACCACATCTTTGAAACGGCAACAGAAGCACCACCGACTGTCCCGAGCAAGCAATAAATGTATGAATACCCACGTGCTCCAGTCCGCCGCCGTCCACGCGCGTGCACGCAGTCCGCTTCCGGTTCAAAGATGGCAGCCACCATGAAGAAAGGAGTGGTATGTGTTCACATTTCTTTTACTGTCTATGGTTCACATTAACTGCCTTCTGTCCAGATTTACGACGTGTTAGTGATGCAGACATATCTAAAACGGCACACGAAACAGTTAACGTTAGTTGTGGGACGCTGGAGAGTATATATTTCCATCTGCTAAATGGCTAACGTCACATTATTCATGATTGTCTGGCATTGACGTTGATTCTTATTATTTAAGTTTACGTTCATCGTTCTGCTGTAATAGCTGTACATTTTCTTTGAGCTCATATGCTTTTCGTTAGGTCATAAAGTCAATATCTACTTATGACACTGTATGCTAAAGTTACAGCTTTATTATCTTTATTTGAAAATATAGATATTTCTAGATAGAATTGCATAGAATCGTACACACACCAAGCTACTGTTTTATGTTACGTGGAGTTAATTGCCGACTGATTTTTACATCATATATTTTCCATCAAGTGTAATGTCATTATTTAATGTCGTAAAAATGTAATTTAATGTCACGTCATGTGTTTACAGATAAAGCATAGGAAGAAAATTATTGCACGGCATTATTTATATATTTATTTTGCTCTTTATAATTGTTTTTTAATATAAAGAACAGACGGTTTTGTTTATGGTGGAATAAATGTGATTAATAATACACAGTTTTGATTACAAATATGTGTTGAATCATAACAGGCAGCTGAAGATGTCAATGTAACATTTGAAGACCAGCAAAAGATAAACAAGTTTGCCAGAAATACAAATCGGATGTCTGAATTGAAAGATGAAATCGAGGCCAAAAAGGTAAATAGACTGTTTGATTTTGATTAGTGGTGCTAAATTGATTAATCACATCTAACATACAAGTGTGTGTATATGTCTGTGTATACTGTATATACACGACACATTTGTATATGTGTGTGTGAGTGAGTGTATGTATATATACAGACATGCACAGTGCACACACACATGTATATAATATATATATAAATATAATAATATACTCAAACATATTGTGTAAAAACAAACTTTTATGTTAAGATGCAATTAATCAATTTGATGGCATTAATTCTTATACAGTTTAGACTGCATTTTTTTCCAGGTGCTGATCTTTTTTCCTTTTTTTTTGTTGTAGAAATCCTTACAGAATTTAGAGGATGCCAGTGAAGACCTCATGATGTGTGAGGACGATGCTATGCTGATCCCATATCAGATCGGAGACGTGTTCATCAGTCACTCTCAAGAAGAGACGCAGGAAATGCTGGAGGCAGCAAAGGTGACTTGACCCATACCATACCAAACCATGAGCCTTCACTCAAGCCGTGTGTGTTTATACGTGTCCCACAGAGCGAGTCAGGCGTACACATTCTGGTCCGTAGACTCTGTAAAACTTGGTGTTTTGTAGCCTATAGTAAATAAAGATCTGGAATGGAAATGTTATAGGTTCAAATCTCATGAGAGTCGATTCCATGAACTACAATCATTGTGTCTTCAAATCAAGACTTAACCTCGGGTTCTTGCAGGAGAATGTAAATACTTAGGTCTACTGATCATGAAACTGTATTATACATTATTTTCATATCATCTAGCTGGTTTCCCTTGCATACTTGCAGCAAGTCGAGTACAAAACAACCTAAAATTGGTAGATAATCTTGATGTTGTTGGAGAACCGATGATTTAAAAAAAAAAAAAACCAACTGACTCGATGCATTTTTCAGAGATGTTAGAAGATATTTTCTTTATTGCTTTGCACAACCAATTTTTACTTGCTTGCCGAGTGTTCAATTTGAATCCTGTTTTTAGCGCTCAACATTTCCGTACTGATATTGTGGTATCCACAGGAAGCTCTGCAGGATGAGATCAAAGCTCTGGAGGGTCGTGTGTCATCCATACAGGTGGTCCTTGGAGATTTGAAGATTCAACTATATGCCAAGTTTGGAAACAACATCAATCTAGAGGCAGAAGAGAGCTGAAACCTCAAGCTTGTGGACTTGACCTCACAGACTCTCAGTCTCCAACAGGATATGACATTTCTACTCTATAAAACAAGTTCTTCTCGCCCTGTTCACTCTGCTGATGTTTGTTGCATTTCACATGTTGTTATGTTTAGTGTATTATCTGAGCTATTGCATGCAGGTGGTTTGGAGGCTGGATAAGAGGCACTGATGTAAAAAATAATAATAAAAAAAGCAAAACATTTACATTGTTTCATTTTTGTCAGTGGATGTTTCTTATTGGCATGATTGAATAGACCTAGCATAGTAGTTAAAGTTTTGAGCTGGTAATGGGAAGGTCGCAGGTTCTAATCCTTCACGTTTCAGCTCATAAATACACAGTGCCCTTGATACAGACAGACATTTATCCTCAGGTCATGATAGTGTAATAAGTGTACTGTGAGTTGCTTTGGATAAGTCAGCTAAATGACATAGAGTAGTAAAACCCAAGGTAATTTATTTACCGTTTAAATGTATTTTATTTAGGGCAGTCAAATGATTAATCGTGATTAATCACATCCAAAATAAAAGTATTTTTTTACATAATATATGTGGGTGCATTGTGTATAATTATTTTATATATATAAATACACAAACATGCTTGTATATATTTAAGAAATATATTCATGTATATACTGTATATAGATTTATATATCATTTATATTATATATAAATATTTTATATATAAATTATATTTTTTTCTTAAATATACATCCATGTGTGTGTATTTATATATATATACAAAATAATTATACACAGTGCACCCACATCATTTGACAGCCCTAATTTTATTTATTTTTTTATATTTAAAGGGTTAGTTCACCCAAAAATTCTTTCATTAAAGGGATACTCCACTTTTTTTGGAAATAGGCTCATTTTACAACTCCCCCAGAGTTAAACTGTTGAGTTTTACCGTTTTTGAATCCATTCAGCTGATCTCCGGTTCTGGCGGTACCACTTTTAGCATAGCTTAGCATACATCATTGAAGTGGACAAGACCATTAGCATTTCTAAAAAAAAAATGACCAAAGAGTTTCGATATTTTTCCTATTTAAAAATGACCAAAGAGTTTCGATATTTTTCCTATTTAAAACTTGACTCTTCTGTAGTTACATCGTGCACTAAGACCGACGGAAAATGTAAAGTTGCGATTTTCTAGGCTGATATGGCTAGGAACTATACTCTCATTCCTGCGTAATAATCAAGAAACTTTACTGCCGTACCATGAGCGCAGCAGGCGTAATGATATGACGCAGCGCCTGAAAATAGTTCCGTTGTGTTGATGGAAGGTAGCGCTGCGTCATATCATTACGCCTGCTGCGCTCATGGTACGGCAGTAAAGTTTCTTAATTATTACCAAAGTCCTTTTAGGCAAGTCATGCCACTCGGCCGCCATCTTGGCAACGCCTCAGGGCAGCTATTTCATTCAGACTAACAAGACCAGGCTCCTATCTAAATGAATGGGCAGAGAGTCAGAACTGCAGTTTCACTGGTCACCGGGACATAAAAACTGCATGTATAGAAACAGCAGTAAAATATGATAAAAATCGCTGAAAAAGTTTGATGACTTTGCCCCAAAATAAGGTTTAAAACACCTTTTTCCCCACAGGTTATACTTTTACTACGCATGCGCAAGGGTTCTCTCCCTCTCTCTCGTGCGCGCGCTACACAGTTTGAAGCACAGTATGTGCGGGCTCTTGCTCGCTCGCTCTAGATTCCGGGAGATTTGAACTAATTTGCGGGCATCAGGGAGCCGCTATCAATCTGCGGGAGACTTCTGAAGTCTGATATTACACAACGCACACATACACGGCATATCAAATCTGCCGCCTTTTCAAACAGTAGCGTATTTTCCGCTGTCGCAAACCTCAACTGTGCGCATGCGTCAGTGGAACCAGACGATAGGCTCAAATGTTTCCCGGCTTGACTGTTAAAAGCAGACGATTGGCTTTCCAGCGGGAGGGGCGGGACATGTGCATACAACCGCCATATTTGGCGTTACGGGTTTTCCCTATATAGTTGTATTAAGGATTGATGAAGTGGCATGTCTCTATATAAATAGTCTCTGTTATTACGCAGGAATGAGAGTATAGTTCCTAGCCATATCAGCCTAGAAAATCGCAACTTTACATTTTCCGTCGGTCTTAGTGCACGATGTAACTACAGAAGAGTCAAGTTTTAAATAGGAAAAATATCGAAAATCTTTGGTCATTTTTTTTTGAGAAATACTAATGGTCTTGTCCACTTCAATGATGTATGCTAAGCTATGCTAAAAGTGGTACCGCCAGAACCGGAGATCGGCTGAATGGATTCAAAAACGGTAAAACTCAACAGTTTAACTCTGGGGGAGTTGTAAAATGAGCCTATTTCCAAAAAAAGTGGAGTATCCCTTTAATAACTCACCCTCGTGTCGTTCCAAACCCGCAAGACTTTCGTTCATCTTAACAAAACAACTGAAGATCTTTTTGATGAAATCTGAGAGCTTTCTGTCCCTCTATTGTCAGCCTATATACACAACTACCACTTTCCAAATTTCAGTCCAAACAGATTGAATTTAGGCTTTTATTAACATATAAACATTGATCAGCGAACATAAACAGAAGCTCAACCGTACCGGACTTATTTTAAAAACATAAAAAAAAACTTTTGAATGGTGTATTTCAAATTATTTTAATTGTTAAATAGTGGGATACATTAAAAAAAAAACATTTTATGCTAATAGTAATTATTAGGGCTGTCAAACGATTAATCGCATCCAAAATTAAAAGTTTGTGTTTACATAATATATGTGTGTGTACTGTGTATAATTATTTTGTATATAAATGCACACATGTATATATTTAAGAAAAATATGTTATTTATATATAAAATGTTTATATTTATATAAAATATACATTATATATAGGCTACATTCAGTCTATATACAGTATATACATGCAAATATTTCTTAAATACACATGCATGTGTGGGTATTTATGTATTAAAAATAATTATACACAGTACAGTACACACACATATAGTATGTAAACACAAACTTTTATTTTGGATGCGATTAATCGCGATTAATCGTTTGACAGCCCTAGTGATTATATGTAAATTTACATTTTATTCAGCAGATGATTTTATCCTATGCATTTATAGATCCAAATGAGTGCAAATTAGAAAACATTAAATTTGAGTGCTAAAATAGAGCATTTGTTTTAAATTTTTTTGCGTTTCTATAGGCTTAAAGCTAAATGTTTGAACTTGCGACCCCCCAGTAATGTAACCGCTGAGCTGAAGCTATGAATGACAGCGCTTCTCTAATTCCTCATTGACAGTTTGTGCAATTAGCAAGATGCTATCTAACTCTTAAGTCTTACAATGAGAAATAAATGCCTTTAATTTAGCAGAATTTAGGATGCAAATGGTTAAAAGTCTTCAGAATTCAGGGGCTTCCAAAAAGCTTGGAATTTATCTCAATATCAGAGATGAATAATAAGTTATTCATATGTTGTATTGATTTTCGGCAGGGCATTAAAGAACACATCAGTTGGACTCTGGTAAGGAATAAGGGATTTTATATTTTAGTGTATACAAAAAGCCACATTGGGCATTAAAAAGCTGTGACCCTCATATTTGCAAAATCTATTTCTGTATTTGTTTTAGAGAGGATATCATATTTAATCAGACCTGCATGATTTGTACATGCATGGTGAGTTCTGCAATAAGTATAATTGTGACTGATGATAGAGTAAGCAGTCACTCCAGGGCAGATCTGTGCTGATTGAGTGTGCAGCTGTTGTGAGATGGAGTGATTGTACTGGTCTAATTAAAGCGAGAGTGTGAGAGTGGCCTGACCCTGATGATAAAATATCAGATTCATAAATGGCTTTGGTGGCCGAAACCTGGAGAATCCAGATCTCAATTAAGCAGTTCCTCATTCTGCATTCAGTGCACATCACAGCTCTTATTTCACACGCAGCCTCTTCTTCCTTATTCCATTCCTTTCTTCTTTATTTCATTCTTTCTTTCCTGTGCTTCCTTCTTCCTCCCATTTCTTCATGCATGCCCTTTCTTCCTCTCCCCTTCATTTCCTTTCTTACCTTCTTCCTTTGTTTCCTTCCTTGCTTTTTATAGTTTTTTTTTTCTTCCATCATTTCCTTCCTCTTCTTGTTTCATTATTCCTTAATTTTCTGCTCTGCCTTCTTTCCTTTCCTTCCTTCATTCATGTACAGTCTTCCTTTCCTCCTTTCTTAATTTTTTTCCCCCTTCATTTCCATAATGTTCTTGTTTCTGTATTCCTTCATTTCATGCTCTCCCTTCGTTTTTTCCTTATTGGCTGTTTTATTCCCTTCCTTCCTTGATATCTCTCTCTGTATTCTCTTTCATATCCCTTCCTTTCTTGTTTCTTAATTTCCTGCTTTCCCTTCGTTCTTCCCTCATTGTGTTCCTTCATTTCTCCTTTCTGCTATATTTCCTTCTTTTTCTTCCTTGATTTCCTTGTACCTTCATTTCATTCCTTTTCTTGTTTTCCTCCCTCCTTCATTCTCTTTATTTTCTTTCTTTCTTCATTTACATAATTTTCTTGTTTTATTCCTTCATTTTCTCCTCTCCCTTCTTTCCTCCTTTCTGCATTGCTTCCTATTTTCCTTAATATCTGTTTTATCCTTCCTTCTTCCTTCCCTCCCTTTCTTCGTTCATGTACTCTCTTACTTTCCTTCTTTCTTCCTTTCCTTTCCCCCTTCCTTTTCTTGTTTCCCTCCTTCCTTTCTTCATTCTCTTCTTTTTCTTTCATCCTTCATTTCCATCATTTTATTGTTTCGGCATTCCTTCGTTTTCTGCTCTCTCTTCATTCCCTTTTTACTCCTTTCTGTGTTGCTTTTTTTCCCTCTTAATTTCTGCTTTATTTCTTGCTTCTTCCTTCATTCTCTTTCTTAATTTTTTCTTCCCTTCTTCCTTTCCTTTCTTGCTCTCCCTTCCTTCTTCCCTCATTGCTTCCTTCATTCCTTCAGCATTTATGCTATTTTTCATTCTTTTTCTATGCCTTCGTTTCCTTTCCTTCTTCCCCTTTCTTCATTCATGTCCTTACTTCTTTCATTCAGTCCTTCTCTTTCTTCCCTTATTCCTTCCTTCCTACTTTCATTGCCTTCTTTCTTGATCCTACTTTCCCTCTTGCATCATGTCTTTTAAGTGCATGTTATCTGTGTGTTATTTTCAGTTAACAC